GGGTCCCAAAATTAAGCTTTGTTTGATTTTAACAAACACTTTTTGATCGAGTTAAGCCATTTCAATTGATATTTTATTGCGTGTCTTTTTATGTTGTAATGTTATACCACTGTTTCAGGTTAGGGTGAAGGTTGGCGCCTGTTAAAACGTTTTAACCCGCTGAATCTTAATGCACCTGTCCTAAGTCAGGAGCCTGTTGTTCAGTGGTTGTCGTTTGTTAGTGTGCTTCAGAAGTGTTTCTCGTTTCTCGTTTTTTATGTAGATTGGACCGTTGGTTTTCCTGTTTGAATTGTTTTACACTAGTCCTTTTTGGGCCCTTTATAGCTTGCTGTTCGGTGTGAGCCAAGGCTCCGTGTTGAGAACCGTACTTTGACCTATAATTGTTTACTTTTTACACATTGTGACCTGATGGATAGCTGTCTCATTGGCACTCATACCACATCTTCTTATTTATATTGAATTCTTGTGGTTCTTTGATATGCTGAATCTAACCATGTATTTAGATTTTGGATATTAGACCATAATGGGTAACTTTTCAATTTCAATTTTGAAGTTCTTATACCACATTAATTCTTTGTTAGAAACCTATTATGTGTCAAATATATTTAATCATAATCAAAATTCAGAGCTGTATCAAGCTTGAATATTGTGCCCCAACTGTTCAGGGTTCGACTTCTGTGGTCGTATCAAGCTGCACCCTGCGGAGCATTTTATCTTTTTTGCAAATGTTTAAAACAAGTGGTTTTTTTTTATGAATAATAGAAAATGATGGCGTTTAGATCAACATGCATGAGACAACAAACCAAAAAAAAAAACATAAAATGACATCTACTGATCTTTTTGCCCCAATTTCACGGTCCACTGAACATAGAAAATGATAGTGCGAGGGGGGCATCCGTGTACTATGGACACATTCTTGTTTCAGTTATAATTTAAGCAAAATGAATCTTAGAAATCATATCATTAGATCATATAAATAAGTAAATTTACAATGATAGTAATTGAAACACCTATCTACAGAAGACAAATACTCGAGAATGAACAAATAAAACTAAATGCAAACTCATTCCGAATGGACTTCGATAATCGATGTTGCGTTTTAACCGATTTGATTCAGTTGCCAATAATGAGGGGTATGTAGATGAAACGAACTTTTGTCGTACAAAATCAAAAGCCTGATACTTTTGCTGACTTTTTTTTATCTTTCTTTGGCATAATTATCTGTATACCCATGCGAAGTACCTAAGTTCGTCCTGGGTTAAAGTAGAAGTCGTGTAGCTCAATCTTTCTTTTTCAGTGAAGTGTTTGTTCACTGTTGTGTGTGTGTTCTTCCTTTATCTTATGGCCAAGCTCGTCTTCTTCCTTTATTTTATGGCCAAGCTCGTCTTCTTCCTTTATCTTATGGCCAAGCTCGTGTTCTTCTTTTATCTTATGGCCATGCTCGTGTTCTTCCTTTATCTTATGGCCAAGCTCGTGTTCTTCCTTTATCTTATGGCCAAGCTCGTCTTCTTCCTTTATCTTATGGCCAAGCTCGTCTTCTTCCTTTATCTTATGGCCAAGCTCGTCTTCTTCCTTTATCTTATGGCCAAGCTCGTGTTCTTCCTTTATCTTATGGCCAAGCTCGTCTTCTTCCTTTATCTTATGACCAAGATCGTGTTCTTCCTTTATCTTATGGCCATGCTCGTGTTCTTCCTTTATCTTATGGCCAAGCTCGTGTTCTTCCTTTATCTTATGGCCAAGCTCGTGTTCTTCCTTTATCTTATGGCCAAGCTCGTCTTCTTCCTTTATCTTATGACCAAGATCGTGTTCTTCCTTTATCTTATGGCCATGCTCGTGTTCTTCCTTTATCTTATGGCCAAGCTCGTGTTCTTCCTTTATCTTATGGCCAAGCTCGTGTTCTTCCTTTATCTTACGGCCAAGCTCGTGTTCTTCCTTTATCTTATGGCCAATCGCGTGTTCTTCCTTTATCTTATGGCCAAGCTCGGGTTCTCCCTTTATCTTATGGCCAAGCTCGGGTTCTTCCTTTATCTTATGGCCAAGCTCGTGTTCTTCCTTTATCTTATGCCAAGCTCGTGTTCTTCCTTTATCTTATGGACAAGCTCGTCTTCTTCTTTTATCTTATGGCCAAGCTCGTGATCTTCCTTTATCTTATGCCAAGCTCGTCTTCTTCCTTTATCTTATGGCCAAGCTCGTGTTCTTCCTTTATCTTATGGACAAGCTCGTCTTCTTCTTTTATCTTATGGCCAAGCTCGTGATCTTCCTTTATCTTATGCCAAGCTCGTCTTCTTCCTTTATCTTATGGCCAAGCTCATGTTCTTCCTTTATCTTATGGCCAAGCTCGTGTTCTTCTTTTATCTTATGGCCAAGCTTGTCTTCTTCCTTTATCTTATGCCAAGCTCGTGTTCTTCCTTTATCTTATGGCCGAGCTCGTCTTCTTCTTTTATCTTATGGCCAAGCTCGTGTTCTTCCTTTATCTTATGGCCAAGCTCGTCTTCTTCTTTTATCTTATGGCCAAGCTCGTGTTCTTCCTTTATCTTATGCCAAGCTCGTCTTCTTCCTTTATCTTATGCCAAGCTCGTCTTCTTCCTTTATCTTATGACCAAGATCGTGTTCTTTCATCTATCTTATGGCCAAGATCGTGTTCTTCCTCTATCTTATGGCCAAGCTCGTCTTCTTCCTTTATCTTATGGCCAAGCTCGTGTTCTTCCTTTATCTTATGGCCAAGCTCGTGTTCTTCCTTTATCTTATGGCCAAGCTCGTGTTCTTCCTTTATCTTATGGCCAAGCTCGTGTTCTTCCTTTATCTTATGACCAAGATCGTGTTCTTTCATCTATCTTATGGCCAAGATCGTGTTCTTCCTCTATCTTATGGCCAAGCTCGTCTTCTTCCTTTATCTTATGGCCAAGCTCTTCTTCTTCCTTTATCTTATGGCCAAGCTCGTGTTCTTCCTTTATCTTATGGCCAAGCTCGTGTTCTTTTTATCTTATGGCCAAGCTCATGTTCTTCCTTTATCTTATGGCCAAGCTCGTGTTTTTCCTTTATCTTATGACCAAGCTCGTGTTCTTCCTTTATCTTATGGCCAAGCTCGTGTTCTTCTTTCTGAAATTTAATGCTTTGAATACCCCTTTGGTATCTACTCCCTGTATTTTGTAATGCAGTGCCAACTTAATCGATTCTACTGCCATTCGTGAAGTTATAAGAATGGCTGGAGGAAAGTATTCATATTTTAGTAAACCAACACTTCTATGCACCAGACTCAAGCTTGCGACCAATTCTAGAGACCACCAAAGAACACAATGAGAATCAACTTGTCAAAGAATCATAATGTGGTATATTGGAAAACCACAAAACCACATTATCTGTTCACTGAATATGGAAAATGATTGTGCGAGCAAATCATCATAGACAAATATTCTTTTTTTTTAATTCAATTTGATATTTTATTCTGATTTCTGATCCGCCATGAGCTATTATAAAGCCATATTGTGCTTGGGGGATAGACACTCCGTCTTTAATATTTTATTTGCAATAATTGATACCGGTTTACAATCTCGGTTTAGAGTATGGAAAACACAGAAAACGTAAACAAGACGTCAAAATATGATTATTTTCCCAACTAGTCCCTTTCCCGATGTTGTAAATTCCTGGGAGGGGGCGCACTTTCATTCATATAAATACATATATGATAATATATAGTATGTGTTTGAATGTTGGGGAATAAAAATAGTTTGTTAACAAAGACTGTCCTAATAAGAGACCAGGGATGGGCACGATTACTGACAAATGTAATCGATTAATAATCGATTACTTGAAGGATTTTTGTGTAATCGATTAATAATCGATTACTCTGATTTTTGTATGTAATCGATTGCAATCGATTACTTTAGCAAAAGTAATTACATTACTTTTCGATTACTGTCAATTACATGCTACAAAATTACAAATTAAATAAAGTAAGTTAAACACAAAGTCAATTATGTTGTTCAATGTATGTATAGTGGAAATTTTGAACTTTACAAAAATAGCATTTAAAGCATTGTTTCCAAATTTTATGTTGACAGTTGTTTTCTAGATGGAAGCTCTTACTGTCTAAGGATCCGAAATATTCAAAAATTCTAGAAATTTTGGTTTTCAATATGAATGATTGGTGATAAAGTTCTTGCAATGGCATCACATTGCATCAATCACTTCTTTATATTTTAGGTTATTATCTCCATATTTTTGCACATACAGAATTTCATCAAACATCATACATCTGACACAGACTTTATTAAGATGTTTTGACTTTTTTCGAATTGCTTTGCGTTATTTTTTATAGAAACTATACATTTTTTTACTGATTGATATCAATATGCCGGCATTTAACAAGCAGTCTAGTCGGTGCATTCAGCTACAGACGAGTCATTGGTGTTGTAGTGTCCCCCTTTCTCTTCAAATGCTGGACATCTCTTGTCATTTGAGCGTTAAAAAACAATATATACCGTACAAGTAGCTAGATTTTCTTTTTAACAGAACGTTGTTTCATAATGTGGTTTTGTGGTTTTCCCATATACCACATTAGGATTCTTTGACAAGTTGATTCTCATAGTGTTCTTTAGTGGTCGCTAGAATTGGTCGGTAGCTTGATTGGTCGCTAAAATGGGTCGCCTGCTTGAGTCTGGTCTTCTATGCTGTGAATTTATTTCCACTGAAAATACGTGATAAAAATATCTAACCACATTTGTCGTTTTTCAGCCTCTCTCTCTCTTTCTGTGTGTGTGTATGTGTGTGTTTGAGTGTTTTTCCAATGTGAGTATAATTGGTGAAACAAGTCTTGTTGTGCCTATAGTTTAGTCATTTCCTGTTCTTAATGTAGATGTGAAGCGAAAACTTAATTCCAACAAAACTATATTTAAAAATACACGTAGGACCATATATTTTGTATCTGTAGCAAACAAAATGTGTACTTATATATTACTTGAAAGAAAGGAAATATGTTGATAAAAAAGGCAACAAAACAATAGTGGTTTGATTAGGTTTAATTGTTTAAAGTATACATAATCATACTATCGCTTGTCGTCGGTCGATAATAAATTAACATCCGTTCTTATTGTATTTGTATCTCCAGATGGTTCTTGTTGGATACGAAGCTGTATTTGGATATCCAGTCTTTTCCACTTTGTCTCTTTTGGCACTGATGTATTCATTGCTAGAATATACGATACCAACGTGACCACTTCCGCTTGGTTGGGGGAATGCGATGATGTCTCCAGATCTTTTTTGATAGAAACTGGGTATTAGAGTGTAACATCCCGTATTTTTTATTTCACCTGAATTTGGATTTCCCCATTCATTAGCGCCTATCGGGGAATAAATCCACCAACGCCTGTAATACAAATAAATAAAAAAAATCAATAAATCAATAGTCTAGATTCCTAACAAAATGTCTGTTGCCAGTTATTTGAAAGGAGATTTAAGAAATCCATCACAAGAAAACAACAGGAAAATAAAATTAAACCAGAGAAGACATTTAAGGTTGATAGGTGATTTAGATTGAATACGATAGTTGTCAAAATGTAGTTTATATCAAGCTATTTTCAAAAATATAATAAATGTATGGACCACGAAGCTTTTTTCGATCTAAGGTTATGCAAAGTTGTCAGATTTTGTATAGATTATACATGGAAAAGCCACCTTTATATGACTAAAATGAAAACTAAGTTATATAATTTTACAACAAAATATGAAAAGATAGCTCTTGTTATGATTACATGGAATAAAAGTAAAAAGGTGGGGTCACTGAACTCGTTTTCTGATTCTGTACAAAAATTATTTTTTTTAATTAAACATTCCTTTTAAAATCTAATTATCTAAGGTGAATTTTAGATGAAAAGAAAAGACACTTCAAATCAAACAATAAATATTAAGAATTTGAAAAAAAGCAGTCAAAATTAAAAAGATAAATAATATAAATTTCTTCATTTAAATAAAATTATTACAAATTAGTTGCGTTCCTGTTTCACAATTTGCATATGTCATCAATGTTTTAGACCGATTGTGTTCTTCTTTCTTAGAATCCCAGATAGCGGAACTCTCTCGATATATTTCTAAGGTCTACATATTACAGTCTTCAACAATAGTTAAATGTACGATTACATATTATTGCATGCTGTTCGGTGTGAGTCAAATTTTTAATGCTCCGTGTTGAAGGCCGTACCTTGACCTATAATGGTTTACTTTTATGAATTGTAACTTGGATGGAGAGTTGTCTCATTGGCACTCATACCACATCTTCTTATATCTGATTAGTAGATATTTCATAAATATATAAACTTGATTGACCTGAATCAGGACCGCAAAAACTAAAAACAAAATTAAAGCCAAAGATGTATACTTATTTGCATAAGGAATCTTTAGTAAGGTGCCAAACCGTGTATCTTAGGTCAATTTCATCATAGGGAGTTCTAGAATCATGTCCGTGGAAAACAACCGACTACTGGGCTAATGATACCGTTGGGGACTGACAATGATATTGAACGATCAATTTAACACTAAGCAGATTTCTTTTCTTTCAGAACAGGGTTTTACAAAGAAACTATTTTTATCTCTAAAGGGATTACTAAAGTTGTTGCTCCTTAAACAGTTTTTTGGCAGAGGTTAAGTTGTATAACCATTCAACATGATGAACTGTAACAAAAAGACTCATTCGTAGAACATTAAAATAACACTTCAGAAATGTGGCGCAACCGTACATGTAGTGCATTTTCGATTAGAAATTTGAAATGATGTATAAACACTTGATGACCTAATCTATAAATCGTCTTGAATTTAGACATTTAACAGACATTATAAAAGAGTGCCACCAGTAATTATTTTTTAGAGAAACAAATCATGAAAATCTAAGCAAAGACCCGTATCGATGCTCCTGAAAAACATGTATTCAAACTAGCACTTCAGTACTCAAAAACCCCGAAAAATTTTCAATCTCATTCAGTGGAATAACAATTTGTACGTTGAAGAACTACCAAAAAAAAACAGTTCAGAAAAAAATCTCACTGAAAAAAAAGAAACAAATGAAAAAAAGAAATAAAACATATTATAAAATAAAACAGATGATACGAAAACAACCAAGTCATGAGTTTAACAGTAAGAAAATACCGTGCAAAATAATAATTGCAGTTACTGTACTAACAACAAAGTCAAATGTTTTCGGAAGGGTAAAGTACTCTGCAGTTTTATCAAAACTTTTATCAAACCGATACAGAAAAGCCATCACGTACTTGAACAATCTGATTAATGAACAATTCTTTCATTTTAAAACTTTGTGGTTAAAAAATAAACCCAGGGACCTAGTCTTACGATTGTTGTAGGACATGTCAAAGTCGTAAGATATGTTTTCGAAAGTTTCCCAAGTTACGATATATCATATTTTTATCGTTAACTTAAGACACCTCGCGACATGGCTTATGATGGTCTTATGATTTTCATAAAAGTTACGACATCACTTCCACTGTTTTAATGTGATAAGTATCATTTACTGCGTTTATCTTTGCACATGCAGCCTCCCGCGCTCTCGTTTTGGCACTGTTTGTTGTTGTGTTGTTTTGTCTGTTATATGGTAAAGATGTATTCTTTTCCACTTCGTCAATTAAAATTTGAATCTTCTGCGACGTAAAATTTTGACTCCTTTTCTTACTCATGCTTATGTATGATAAATATATATTATATTATTTTCTTCTTACATAGTAGTTTATTAACGGATTTGCACGAGTATTTCGTTAAGTGAGTATTCGATGTACCAAATATTCACAATTAAGTGCCAGTCTTTGTAAGAATCAGGCAATTTTGAAAAAAAATCAAAACATGGCCGAAAAAAACCAACCGACATAACCATCCTATTTTGAAGTAACCTCATCCTGAGCTAGTAATGCATGTGTGTCTGGTAATTCGAGAAATCTCTATATAACGTTTGGTTAGTATGATTGCAAATTAAGGAGTTAGCTCCCCTTAATTGTTAATTTCTAGTGCATTTCAACCAAATTATATCTTGAATTACTAGAACAGGAAAAGTTAAACGAATGTTATATTCGTGCACCATTATACATATTGAACATAAATTAATGTCAACTTGAGTGGTTTTTTTGTTTGTCATGTTTTCACCCCTGCCTGATTCTTAGACAGATTGGTACTTAAATTACATTTTATGTATAATAATACATGAACGCGAAGTTCTAGAATTCTATTGTATATCCAAACTGAATTGAAACAAAATATCAACTCTCATATTTTCATTCCTTTTCATATATAATTTCATGTTCATTATAATGAAAAAAATATTCGTAAATGATAAGAATGGTAATAATTATTATTTTCATACTTATTATTTTGTATAATTATTCTTATAATTTTTTAATCATTATTTAAAATAAAAGAAGACACATTCACTTATGACAGTGATAAGAGCATCATAGGTATGAATCTCTTAGGAGAGCTTTGATTTACATTCTAGGGCATATCATAAATTATGATAGTCATGAGATGGTCATACAATTTGTCCCAAGATATATCTTATGACATATCTTATGACATATCTTATGACATATCTTAGGATACTTTCGAAAACCAGGTCCCTGGTTATTAAAAAAGAAAATAACATACCTTGTAGGAACTTTTGCTCCAACGCTTTTGAGAACATCATATACAAACAAGTTACATTTCCATGTACCGCAGAATCTGGAACCATGTTTGCATCCAGATTTACTCCAGTCAGTACTATCGATAAAACTCCTTGCCTTGTTAACGATTTTCGACGCCGTCACATCACTTCCTTTCTGTATCAGAAAAGATATAGTTTTTTAAAAGAGAATGACGTGAAGGAAATAGTTGTAAGGTAAACGAATGAACATGCTTCTACATTGTCTAATTTAATACCCATCTGTAATGGGGTTTTTTATATTGGCTAATTGTCTGTGTTAATGGGTTAAACAGTTCTTTTTCTGTTACCCCGAACAATATTCATTAATTAGGATAAACTTTCAAATTTGAAAATAATAATAACTATATTTATATCAAATTTCATGCAGTCATATCTTCTATTTTAATCCAGTTCTGTTCAGATACTTCGTTCGTAGTTAATTAACAGCATTCAAACTATCTAGAAGACGTTTAACATATCCGACACCACAAGTACTGATCGTCTGAAAAGTGATGGGACAATATTATATTGACTCAAGCAAAATTTCAGAACAGTGCTGAACATTGCTGAATTTCCCTAAAAAATAATTATCTGAGAAATTACATGCATTATTTTGCATCGGAAGGGTAACAGTTTCTACAGCTGTTTATGTTGCATGTTCTTCCCTGGAACTACATGTACACATACGGTTTTATGTTGCATTTGATTATGGCACAACCCAAAAAAGAAAGACGGAATTGTTGCTACGACAAGTTGAAAACAAATGGTAATCATTTGTGATGCAGATATTCTACAACGGTCTTCAAAATCATGATAGCCAATATAAAACTGCTGAAGGGTGGCTTAAAATGTACTATTAAAAATCTTTGGTTCAATTACTTCAATTTGATCCATATGCAGGTGCTGCTGGAATTTGGATACACAGTGAAGTTCGCAATCGACACTTACATTACGTTTCTACTGTAGAGATGATTCAGGAAAGAGGTTGACCTAAATACTGCGTAAAAACTATCAGCACATATCAGTGTTCTTTTAAGGCATCATGTCTGTCATTTTGGTTCTAACAGTGTATAGGAATGTGTATGATGAGTTTATATTTGGGATATTTGCACATACCTATAATACTGTATATCAAAAGAGTAATAAACTTACTGTTTGGTATGATAGATGTAACTGTATCACAATGACCACCAACAATTGAAAGGAAAGATTCATATCTGTAAAACAGACAAAAATAATCGTAATCGAGCGCCACGAGGACTTTTGAGGATTATTTTTCTTTCTCTCGAAACGATCATGTATCTAGTGATCGACTAATTTCAAAACGTATCAATTGCTTTCAGGTGTTTCCGAAGAAAGAAAAAAAAAAAACCAACGTTTTCATGAACGCTCGAGACAAAAAACATTAAAAGCCAAAAGTACTAACGAAACGTTTGAGCCTACACAGAATAGCGAAAACCGTCTTAGATCTATTTTGCCTGAGAGAGTTGCAACCTACGGTTCATTTTTAACTGGAAATGTAAAGATAAAATGTCTCATTTAAATCATGCTAATACAAGAGCACTGGCTACTGGGTGGAGGATAAGCTCCGGTACGCATGTGGTATTTTTTTTCACTCTACAGTTTTGTGGTAGAAAAAAATATGGATACGACCACTTAAAAAAAAAACAAACAAAAAATCATCATATACTTGATGTTAAACCTATTTATAACACATCATAAGACAAATATATGATAAGGGAAAAAAAATAATTTAACTTTGCGGCCAAAAATCGTACCATATCCTAAATTTACATGAAATATTTGCCACTTGACGTTAAGCAAACAAAAATTCCATCAATCAATACATACGCCATACCAACGCAAGATCTCAGATAAAAGTTTTTTATCATTAATTTCCACTTACACAAGTGATATAATTTATCATTTAGGTTATACATACCGATTCATGCGATTGAATGATAGCCGATGTCTTATGTGAAACGTAATAAAATGTTTTTGCGTGTTAACCTTTTTATATAAAAAAATGAAATACATGATCGGAAAACCAACATTAAAACGGATATGTTATATAATGTTTTAACGCATAAAGTATACACACTTGAGTAACTCCATCTGGCAAAATCAAACCTAAATAATTCACCAGTAAAAAGGGGCATTTTTGATTGACTTTATTGAAATTCGTTCATGTTACGAGTGTGAATAAAATGTACAAAATGTAGATAACTTTATTTTTTATTTTTTATCTGTTTTGTCATTCGCCATCTTTTTATTTAAACGCATGGCAACTCTTATAAAATAAATCCAAACAACATCGTGGAATTGTTATAATACAGTGAACATTAATAGTACTAGAGAAAACACAAAAATAATGTACGTGGTAAGGGAATGCCAGTGCTCTGATTGTAGACTGTATGTCCCCCAGGGGTATCACCAGTCCAGACGCCAGTACTTCGGTACTGTCATGAAAATAGGGATATTATTTGATTGAAAATTGCTGTTAAAAACTTTTGGAAATCATTTCAGTAATGTATCTCCAACATGCAAAGTTTTTATTTCTTCTCCGGTTTTTGTGTAAACAATATTTTATTATGAATTATACAAAATACAATATAAATTCACATTCACAAATAGGATACAGAAACAAGCAACAAGTGCTTATATTAATCTGTCTCCTTGTTAAATTGGATACAATATACACAAATAAATCAAGACTACATGCTCTGTTACATAATAACAATATTGATAATGTATATCAGATACAGGTACATTTAAATGAATTGTTGCCGTGAGATTCAGGCACGTGTTATTGAATATTTTTTCTCCCCAAAAACACTTGAAAAAGGGGGAGGGGGTGCAAATTTTATTCGATGTATATCTGGCCCTCCATATCGAAAATGACATGTAGTTTCAAAAAGAGTTTTGTCGTTGTGAAAGGAAGGAAACATTTTCTAATACCAATTATGAAGGTAATTACTGTTATTCTTCCATTCCCAAAAACTGGAAAAAGATCGGTTGATTGATTGCAATGGTTGCATGTTGAATACACAGGCGCTTGGGTATATGATACAAAAAAAAAATTTTAATTTTTTTTTTGTTGATTTAAATATTCAATTTTCCATATTTATACTACATATCTATCACTACTGCGCATGTCTCACCTAGTTTCGAGTGATTTTACCAACTTTGAGACAAACCCCCATTTTACTATCCACACTAAGAAACAAAACTAGGTGAGACATGCGCAGTAGTGATAGATATGTAGTATAAATATGGAAAATTGAATATTTAAATCAACAAAAAAAAAATTAAAAACATTTTTTGTATCATATACCCAAGCGCCTGTGTATTCAACATGCAACCATTGCAATCAATCAACCGATCTTTTTCCAGTTTTTGGGAATGGAAGAATAACAGTAATTACCTTCATAAAACCTATGATTGCGGTGGATAAAACCCGCAATTTTTATACGTGTGCATGCAAAACAAATTTCTTGTTAGAGGGGTCTAAATACAGCACAAACAACATTTTCCAAAAGACCAAAAAAGTGAAAAAGTATATTTTAACAAAACGTATTTGACTAACAGGTCGAACAACAAATGTTCTTAAACCCTGCTGACTGCCATTGGCGATTGCCAAATAAACGGATCACCGATGTAATAAATGGATCTTAATCATAAATTTAATACTAAACAGAAAACAATAAACTTGCGGAAAAGATGGTATACCGCAAACAAAAGGTGCAAAGGTTTTTGTACACCATATCCGGATTTCGACAATTAATGTCTCTTCAGTAATGTTAGGAATCGAAACGGTATTTGGAAAGCCATACAATTTACCTCAATTTAGGATAGACTCTTGAATTTTGAGGAGTCAAAATAGGATGAACGGATCATATAAACCCGAAGGCAAATATAATACAAGCCCAAACGAAAAAATATAAACAAGTCTAAATTGAAAACAACGTTCAAACCTATGATTGCGTTGGATAAAAACCGCAATTTTTATACGTGTGCATGCAAAACAAATTTCTTGTTAGAGGGGTCTAAATACAGCACAAACAACATTTTCCAAAAGACCAAAAAAGTGAAAAAGTATATTTTAACAAAACGTATTTGACTAACAGGTCGAACAACAAATGTTCTTAAACCCTGCTGACTGCCATTGGCGATTGCCAAATAAACGGATCACCGATGTAATAAATGGATCTTAATTATAAATTTAATACTAAACAGAAAACCATAAACTTGCGGAAAAGATGGTATACCGCAAACAAAAGTTGCAAAGGTTTTTGTGCACCATATCCGGATTTCGACAACTAATGTCTCTTCAGTGATGTTAGGAATCGAAACGGTATTTGGAAAGCCATACAATTTACCTCAATTTAGGATAGACTCTTGAATTTTGAGGAGTCAAAATAGGATGAACGGATCATATAAACCCGAAGGCAAATATATATATATATTTTCCAAAGTCATTCTAAAGTGTGTTTTATTTTCCTTTTTTTTTTTAAATTAAGTCTTTTGTAAGATTGCTGTACAATGTAATCAACATGTACAATCCATGAACCGAAAAATAAACTCCTAAATGATGTGCTTTTCGACTACGTGTAATTCTTCGTTATTCATTTTTAAAGGTGGGTGATAAGGTTTTACGGGAAATAATCATGGTTTCAGTTTTCTTTGGGTTGAATTTTACAAGCCATTTCTGGGACCATTCGTGAATTATGTTCAAATCGCTATTGAGAATTTCAGCAGCTCCTACTATTATCAACAGTTAAATATAGACTTGTGTCGTCAGCAAAAAGCTTAATTTGGGCTTTAACTATGTCATTAATAAATACCAAAACCAGAAGAGGACCTAATATAGTACCTTGTGGAACGCCAGCATTAATGGACAACCAGTCAAAATTTATTTGATCCATTTATAACTGCTATATTCTCCGGCTATACATATTTTTTTGTTTTTGAAGCCATAACGTTTGTATTCAGATTTGGATTTTCAAGCTTACAAAAAAAAAACTTTAGTAGAGTATTTTTCCCTCGAGCATCACTAAAGAGATATTAATTCAGGTGCGTTATTTGGTACCTTTAACGTTATTGTCTCTCGGGTAATTCAGTCCTTAAGACGTTCTTATGCATAAAAAACAAAATTACATTTCACATGTATAGGATATAAAGATATCGCTTATAGACGTCAGGAAGGCGATTTAACATATAATTCATTACTTTAGCATGTTTAGTATATGACCTGGCTCACCTACATTATCTAATAATTTACATTTCTGGTAAACGGGCGATAACTTATTTTTAATTATGTTCCACCGAACATTCAAAAATCATTGTACAACCAATATTTAAATTAATTATATTTATGTATAAAGTATGTCACTTCTCTGGAATTCTCTAATATTATATATATGTGTATCAACCTGTAGGTCTATAGGACAGATAAATTGTAATGGCAGATCGTTATGCTGCATGTGTTTCATGTATTATTTTACATTATTATTACACTCAGAAATACCTTTAGAATTTACTAGGTAAATAAGTCAACTTACTGTTCATGTGATTACTAGTCATTTTAGTAAAACCTACCAGGTAGAAAGTAAAGTTATTGGAATGACTAGTGTATTCAAAACTAACAATATCAGTAATTTAGTCTAGAAAGACTATCAAATAAACAAATGCACTAGCTAGAAAGTCTCTATTACTAGGTAAGCTACTACACCTACTAGACATTGCTCTCAGTGTTGAATTATAGTATACTTACATGTACATATGTCATTCAAAACAAAACGAGTAATAAAAACGGTATTTAACTATGGACTCGTAATGATTTAGTTTGTGGATAAATTTTATAGACACCTGTCAATTGTTGACCATCGTTTGTTGTCCTGTAGAAGAAGTAAGCAATTGTGTAGTTTTGTCCTTGGTTGTTGTTACATTGACAATTAGCAACACAATTGGACGATTCGGTTATCCCGTAGTTACCATTATACTTCGATGAAGCACATGTATACTTTTGTTTTCACTTTTGAAAAGGCAATTTAAATATATAATTTTTCATTTAGCATCTTCTTCTTCTTAATTTTACAATTTCATAGTTTGATATATTTTAAAAACAATTCTGTTGAGTTTGAATCTTATGCATCTTTTGGGTTGTTAGATTTATCTTAAAAGTGGTGCTAGCGTATTGGTTGCTAGCGAGTGGCAGCTAGCTTGAGCCTGGTAGCTCTTTTTAGAATCTTTTTACTGTCAAACTAGAACAAAGATGTCGATTGGTCATTTTTGTCACTAGGTTGCTGTCTGATTGAAGTTCATTTTTTCTTTAAGATGCACATATGTAGAATAGAGAATGGAGTTTTCTAACAAAAAAAAAAAACACAACAGAAAGAAATAGGAAATAGAAGACACTAAAAAAATACATGTTTTGTCGCTCGTATTCGCTTGTCCTCAAATATAGTTCTTATTGATTTAAGTATGTAAACTTTTAATTTGTCTTTTCATTCGAAATCTATGGACTAAAATCATTAGTTACGTTATTTCTTTAAATTATAGTATGGGGAACTCAGTGGCCGAGTTGTCTAAGTAGTTCATCTACTATAGTTAACATTAGGATTTCAAGACTGAGATTGTGAGTTCGAACCCGGCTCGTTGCAGCTGCGTTCGACACCGATCTTAAATGCCAGTGTTCCTGTCGATGGTGGGCGGTTTTCTCGAGGTACAAGGGCTTCCTCAACCATTAAAACTGGCCGTCACGATAAAGTCAAGAGTGCTGATAATAGCGTTAAACTGCACAAACAATCTATCAGTATCAATCAATAATTTATTAATATTTTATTTTGAAGTTTATCATCATGTTTATATTTTCAGGTGTATCATACACACAAAGTTTATGCATTATTAAGATCCACTTGTAAAGTCTGTCGTTAAGTACTTTTAGTAAAAATTTGTTATTCAAACACACCTACACTATTATTATCAAGGTATTTCACTTGACCCATATATTTCATTTTTAAAGCGGATGACCTTGAGGGCATTCCGGTGTT